TACACTCATTTGAGACCATTGCCATGTTCCATTTTGATTCATTCATCATATTTAGCTACTAATTACTACAGAGAGACATGAACACAGTCCAGTCCATCACACAAGCCAACCTTCCATTCATTGATTCCATCTATACTTCTCACTGCCTCAGGAAGGCAGCCAACACAATCAAAGACCCTTCCTACCCCAGTTATAATCTCTTCCAATCTCTTCCATCGGGCCAAAGGTACAAAAGGTTAAACCCACGTACCAACAGATTCAAGAACAGCTCCTTCCCTGTTGCTATTAGATTTCTGAATGGACCTCTCCAATTTTAAATTTAATGTTGATCTCGCTCTTTTCTCTGCAGCTGTAACACTGTATTCCTTACTCTGTTCTATTACCCTAATGCACTTTGTATGGTATGATCTGCCTGTACTGCACGCAAACCAAAACTTTTCACTGTACCTCGGCACATGCAACAATAATAAATCAATTATCGCCACAAAGCAACCTTTTGCAATTCACAAAGCGCCTGCTATCCAGTGGGAATCAGTAAACGTCACCAATCATAACCCGCTAATTAACGCGGACGGTGGACTACCAGGTTTCAACATTCCGTGGAAAGTTGGGACCTTCCTCAGACTCGGGAGACGAGCCAGTGAGGATGAGGACACTAACTCAATGGGTGGAACACAGACTCAGATTGTGACTCCGTCCGAGCTTGACCATCGCCCACGGACCAAGCTCATGCCACGGCAGGTCAACTGCCGGGGCCTTCACACCCATTCAAGCTGCATCAGCTGAAACTGCTGGGCGTATTGTTAACCTTGACACTGAGCTGTAACTCCTTCCCTTGACACATGACCTGGAAAACATCTAGCAGCAAAAACCTTTTGGAATACTGCATTCAATTCTGGTCTCCCTGCTACAGGACAGATGTCATTAAACTTGAAATTGTTCAGAAAAGATTTACAAGGATGTGTCCCAAGGTTTGAGCTATAGGGAGAGGCTGAATAGGCTGGGGCTATTTTCCCTGGAACGTCAGAGGCTGAGGGGTGACCTTTTACGGGTTTATAAAATCATGAGGGGCATGGATAGGGTAAATAGACCAGGTCTTTTCCCCAGGGCACGGGAGCCCAAAACTAGCAGACAAAGGTTTAAGGTAAGAGGGGAAAGATTTAAAAGGGATCTAAGGGGCAACTTTTTCATGTGGAGGGTGGTGCATTTCTGGGAACGAACTGCCAGAGGAAGTGGTGGAGGCTGGTACAATTACAGCATTCAAAAGGCATCTGGATGAGTATATGAATAGGAAGAGTTCAGGAGGAGATGGGCCAAATGGTTGGCAAATGGGACTCGATTAATTTAGGATATCTGGTCGGCATGGACGAGTTGGGCCGAAGGCTCTGTTTCTGTGCTGTACATCTCCGTGACTCTATGACCGTTTCAAGCAAAACGGTGGTGAGAATCTGGAAATTGAGGAATCTGCAGGTTAAATCGGGCAGTGAGGTACCCTGGTCTAGGTGGGTTTGAGGCTTTGTGGGCATGTATCCAATGGATGCCAGGGAAATGGGGCTTGTGTGTGGGCAGAACAGGTGAGGTGATGGGATTAACCAGGGTGTGACTTTCACTTGTCACAGAAGTGCTGGCCCTTTGGAACCTCACATTCCAGCTGATGCCCTGTCTTAGCTGAAGGTCAGGGGCTCAGATACAGGGGAGTGGGCACGCTGTGCTTGGGTTGGGCGGAAGGTCGGGGGGGGGGGGGGGGTGCTGGAGGGGGTAGAACCAGGGCTCATGATTTGCATCCCCAAAACACAACACGGTGTATAACGATGGATACCAAATACCAACTCTGTTTAAAAGGATCACTTGCAGGTGAAATTGCCCACACTATCATAAACCCATTTCGAAGGCTTCCTATCCCCTGTCGAATCAGCTGCCCAGTTAGAAAAAAAACGCAAATAAATCTGGTGAATGAGGATATTCTGGTTCGATTTAGATTTATATAATATTGTCACTGGTGCCTAGGTGCTGAGAAAAGTGGATAAAATTGCCACGTTCTGGCACCATTTTCAATTACATAACAAATTGCTGATTAAATTGTGCAAATGGTAAAAAAAAATTGATTTATCTTTGATACATCCAAATGGAAGTACATTACATTCATCTACCATTTAAAGGTCAGCTCGCCACAGTTCTACTGGAGCATGGGGCTGTTCTCTCATTAGAGAGAGATGACTGGGGGTGGTTTCACCTCAGGCGAGGGGAAAGGTAGAGATGGTGGAATGTTCATGGTCACCTCAGCTGATGCAGGAACTGAACCCACGCTGTTGGTGTCACTCTGCATTGAAAAGCAGCCAGCTGAGCCAACCAGCCTGTTCCATTTAACGGGACCAGCCTCTGTACAATACATTACAGCACGGACTCAGTGCTTTCTCTTCTCCCTGTGTGGGGCGACACTGACGGGATGTCAGCTGAGGGGATCAGGCTCTTTCTTTGATTAAAATCTCCCTTTAAAGGAGGTGGAAGCAAACATCTTTCACAGCAATGATATAGGACGCCTCCCTGTAGAGAATCAGAAACCTGTGGTGACTCAAAAACCCTCAGATCCATTTGCAAAACCCAATTGGGTAGGGTGGCGGGGTCTGTTAGGAGGTCTTATATGCAGAAGCCTTGACTCTCCTGGCCGTGCACGTTTGCATACATCTGGTGGGAACACGGTTTAAACTTGAAAGCTGGGATCACAGTGAAGCAGAAAGGATCATAGAATCCCTACAGTGCGGAAGCAGGCCACTCAGCCCATCGAGTCCACACTGACCCTCTGAAGAGTACACCCCACCCATTCACCTGCACACTGAGGGCGATTTCCTACAGCCAATCCACCCTAACCTGCACATCTTTGGACTCCACACAGACAGTCAGTCACCTGAAGGTAGAATCGAACGCGGGTCCCTGGCACTGTGAAGTAGTAGTGGTAACCACTGAGACACCGTGCCTCTCCATACCAGCCCTTGGAACAAGTGCCAAGCTGAGGAAATTTTGCATCAAACATTAAACAAAGGCCCCATCTAACCTGCTCAAGCCAATGTTTAACCACATGCCACTATTTAGAAAGGAGCAGGGCATCCTGATCAATATTCGTCCCTCAACCCATACCACACATCATCTGGTTGCTGTAAAGGAGACCATGCTATCTACAAATGTGCTGTTGTATCTTCCCCGAGATAGTGACTGTAACGAAACTACCAACATGCTTTATTGATTGTGAGGATGTGCCCGGCATATTGTAACTACACACACCATCTTTCCTTGTCACACGTGAATATATTTGCTTTCAAAAGTACCGGACACTGATTGTAGGGCTGCTGCACTGCTATGAAGGCATAGGAGCAGAGGTAGGCCATTTAGCGTATTGAGTCTGTTCTAGTGAAACCATGCCTGATCTGATAATCCCGAACTCCACTGTCCTGCTCTCAATTCCCTTACTGATTAAAAATCTATCTCAGCCCTGAATATATTTAATGAGGCAACCTCTGCGGTAAAGAATTCCACAGATTCACTACCCTCTTAGAGAAGACATGTCTCCTCATCTCTATCCTAAATGGGTGACTCCTTACTCTGAGATGATGCGCTCTGGTCCTAGACTATCCCACAAGGGGAAACAACCTCCCCACATCCAGACTGTCAAGTCCCCTAAGAATCTTCTGTACAGTTCACTGTCTTGCTTATCGGCTAGATTACACCAGGATGAATCATGTCGTACAGCTCGGGGCTTTGGAATGGTGGAGGCAGCTGATCATGTGATTCTACTCCTCTGGGAACATGCCCAACCACTGCTGATAACCCTGTCAATATCACCAACCACTGCTGATAACCCTGTCAATATCATCTTCCATCTCTGTTAACTCTGCCAGTATCACTGACCACTGTTGATAACTCTGCCTATCTTATCAGCTACTGATAATAACCCAGCCCAGCTCACCAACCACTGCAGATAACCCTGCTGTTATCACCGATCACTGCAGATAGCCCTGCCGTTATCACCGATCA